CATACAACAATGCATATTTCCACTGAGATCAGTATCCTTTGATGTGTATCACCAGTGATCAGTCAAGTAGAAACAATCAAAATATTTTATCAGATTTTCTCAATTTTTGCATGATATTTTCATACAGGACATCTGTTGTTCAAACTCAGGGAAGACTTTATACTGATGAATAAGGTGACCAAGTTTGATAAAGTTTGGAATAGAATTAGTAAAGTTATTATGCACACAATAACAATTATTAACGACGACGACGCGACGACGACGACGACAACAACGACAACACAGGACAAAATTTTTCCCTTAATATACCTTTCCCTTCCATCTTTGATGGTACGGGCAAGGTAATAAAAGTGCATTATATATATGGTACAGAAGGAAATGAAATCATTGTCGTTGTCAAAAATCGCGTATATATATAACTTCATTCGAAATAACGCTTAGTCTTATTACATTTACAGACGGTCTTACCCCATTTACTGCCTATAAGTACGGGACATCCAGCATGTCGCGTTAGATCGTCTGATTCGCCGGATGCCTTCAGATTATACCAAAACACCGCAGCGTTCTAAACACGAATGAACAGATCTAATCGTCATATTAAAACCGAGAAATGCAATACTGTGAAGTAATCAACAAAAAAACTATGTATATGTGAAGAAATCGTCAATTAAAAACTGCCTATATGAAACGCCCGATTTAAAAGTATGCCAGTGCGAATATATGTTAATCTTCTATTAAAAACTATATACTAGTATGCGATTGGTCATACATACCTTTACTGGCGGCACAAATGCATCTACTTCGGGAAACACTGTGTATCCCCCAGCTTTGACTTCACTCATCTATAACATACAATACGTATGCGTTACAATAATGTAATCAACGACGATGGTGGCGCTGTCCAATATGAACATTAATACAAGAAGAAATCAGAAAGCTGTTTTTCGGCTTAGTTTTTGCAAAATACAGATGGCTTTTCGATCAAGAATTGCAAGTCAAGTTCACACGTTACTCAAATAGCACACATAAAATACCATTTAATTTACAAGGACACACATATTTGAAAGACATGTTATTCTAATTCAAAAGCAATCACAGCGAATTTATACATTCTTGAACTCGATATACATATTAATAAGTGCACTAACATAAAACATCCACGTGGCTATGCGATTCCTAGAACCAGGAAGGTGGACATCTGAGTTTTCAATCTGTGGAAAAATAACAAATAGACATGAACAGCTGTCTAAACGGCGGGCTGCGCATAGACATGCATTATTTGTGCCCAGTAAAACATTCCCCAGCTTACTAAAGCGGTTCTGTGGCTTTCTCTATAAAACTCGACTTGTGGTCGACTTGCTCTGATCTCGTTGGCATCTCTTTGAATGGCGCCATGTCGCGTTAAATCTGATTAATTGCAGGTTGCATAACGATACGGCACAACTGGCTTAAATTAGCAATGAATGCAGTTATTGTATTTGACAGCGTTCATTTAGATAACCCTCAGTTCACATAGTGTTAGTTGAGCAGTTGTCAACAAACATACATATACTAGTATAACTGGTCGAGGCAATTATCAATATAAATGTACAAACTGTCACACGTTCTTTGCACGTAAAAAGCTCGGTTATGAAGCATATTCTTAGGGGGGTATCCGGCGGCCGACGTGCCATATAATGTGAAGGCGATTAGGTGCCGCACACGAGCGTAAATTCGGTACCAAATGACCGTTAAATTTATGCCGGTAATTTATTAATTATATGTATCCAATATCCAATAATATTTACCGTTGCGTGGTCAAAATGTGGTTCGTAATGCCCTCCTAACCCGTAGTTCACTACCTGTAAGAAAACGCGATAAGTGGTTTATATGTCTAACCCCAAAGAAAAATATCTATATTCTGTTATATACTGGTATATATAATCCCTGTGTAACGTTCTCCCTCCACTATCTCACCATGGTAATACAGTTGATAGCGATTATTCACATATGACAAATGTGTCGTGTAACTTTAATAAATGTAACCACGAAATGCATTGTGGGATGTGTAACATTCTTAGTAAGATATACATTATACATTAATATATACATTAAGATATACATTATATAAACAATGTACCCGGTGCTAAGAATGATTTTATAAGGCAATGTTTCTGTTGCAAAGAAAGTCCGTATATAGGCAATGCACAAGCCTTGTAAAAATATAGATCTTATATAGACGTGTCTGGTGAAATGTCGTTAATTTAAGTAATAATAATCACGCTCCCATGCAAGTATAATGTGACACTGTCGCTGTGTGGGCTATTTAATGTTAAAACACTTCAATATTTGGATACTGACCTGCAATGCCTCAGCATGCCTATACTCAGGGGCAGTTAGTGTACTTAATCCCGATATATCGGATATTCGTCTTGTCAATTTAGCAATAACTGTGCCATCCCAATCTTCTAGCCATCCACTGAATAGTAATGATATAGTAGAATTATCAGTCACAGACGAGGCGGGTTTAAATGGCCTCTACTACGAAAGGACACAATATATAATAAATTATTATAATACATATCCTTAGCATAACGATAAAGACTTTTCGTTTACTACATTGTGAAATCTCTTGTATATTTGGGGAGTGGGAACTGAAACAACTAATTTGGACAAGAAAACTCATAAATATATCACAAAATTAGTCAATAAGATGTGTATGTAGTATTTACCGAACACACGTAAATTTTTAATTATAAGTATATGACTGAAAGAAGGTGAATGAAATTACAAACATACGTGTGCCATTACAGTGTCACCTACCCACTACTAACTCGGTACTCTGCATCAGATGAGCCAGTGCCGCTCGGTGAACTCCCTTTAGTTACCACAAGAGATCGGCGAAGCTAAATATTAAACAAAGGTTGAGTTAGAAGTACAAACTGATTGAATATGAATTAAAACTCTAATAATCACTGATTGGATCAATCGTCATTAACATAATCGTGGGTTGCGTGAGTTGCGCCAGTGAGGGCGCCACGCACCCCTACATGTTAGGCTCAATCATTGTGTGTTCGTTGTCTATTGTTTCTTGATCTTCCTTTCATGAAAATCGAATATCCATTGTGTAATTCTACTTTAACCCTTATATGGTAAAATCTGGTATAAATGTATTGGGACTGACATGATAAGCGTTAAAGGACGGTAGTCGTCACGTGTTCGAATTTCATGTAAACAAACAATGTATTTTACACGCGTTGTATACGTCGCTATGAGTCCCATATCGAACGGGATGCGATGCGACGACTGTAGCACTTTACGTGTCCGTCAGGATAGGCTTACTCTACTAAAAAATAGAATGATTTTGATCTAGTGGTTCAACATAAATTAACACTATAATAATTCTTTATGACTTTCTTTTCCCATTGTTTGAATACGTTTTATATGCTGCAGTGCTTGTTATACAGCCGAGTATATATTAAGTAAATATTTAGATAACAATATTTATGTAATAGCCGAACTAAGACAATTGCGTGCCTTTGACTCATTACGACCGAGACCATATAGAGTTCCGTCACCTCAAAAATCCTTTAACATTACATTTCATGTAAATACTTCCAATATTTCCAACTACCTCCTCCAAGTGTTGGCATGTACGATACAAACTGATATGTATTTTGTGAGCGTCTATACCGAAATCTGTTCAAAAATACTGTTATAAATATGTGATTACATCGAAAGATTTACATGTAAAGATACAATATGGATGAAAACATATGTATTAGCGTACATGCGCATTAGAGAATGTTACAGTACAGCATCGTTTTCAAGTCATAAATCACGGTTCAATATATTCATGCAGCTTTACAACCTCTCCTATGAGACTGTGGTCGCATGGACACATCTTTATGTGGAACACGGCGCAGTATTGTGGTCGCACGAATAGTCAGTTGCCACACAAGCGATAATAAACGTCACCAATTTACTGATTCATACTAACACATGAAGCAGCAGCCATCTTGAATCCTCGGCGCCATAAAAAAATATTCACCGTGTAATACTTCAAAATAATCCGATAATCCCTCAATGCACCGTTTCGTCTTTATTTGTTTTTAGAAATACGGGAACCGGCTAAAACGCATTTTTATATCCATATCTTTTGCTGATTAAATACGGCCTCGCTAGCTAGCTGACTGTGGCTCAGACGTACACACAATCTTGCCAGCTGACTGTGGCTGTCCGTATAGTAGATATCGGTGCATTTTGTAAACATTATCGCTTGTACGGCAGCTGAGTGTTAATTGTCACGTGGGATCTGGATAGAATACGGCACTGGGACGGCTTTTATAATTCAACATGAAACATGCCGCATGTAATATCTGAACCAACCTTTGGTTTTGCAAGTTTGATAACCTCATTTATTTCTTCATCGCTGATGACGTCATGATATAACACTACTCTGGGGTTATGGTGCATAATTTCCTGCTTAGCTGGTTGCAGTAAGAGTCTGTAGTTGCCATTGGTGACATACTGGCATTTTACTTTGGAAGAATCCAGAGGCTGTGAAAAGTAAAAATGGTATAGGATTCTACTTCATTAGTAACGGTCTAGGGAATATTATGTAGTCAAGATATGAGAAATATTTCTAGTGGAATTAAAGGCCGGTAGTCGTCGTGCCACGCATGCGAGAGATATAAACAATGATGGCGCAGATCAACAAGTACAAACTGTGACGTTAGAAAGCTTAAATTAAGTATGCTTTAGATGATTGGAAGATATCGAAGGAGTCACCGGCGGTAATTAGTGCAAGTTGCGCTCAGGTCAAACATCATACTTGTGATTTTCATTGAAATCAATGTTTACAAGAGAACTGGTGATGGTTGTAGAACCATAACTGCCTCAGCACAAAGACTGTTATGTAATACAAGGGAATGTACAGGGAAATGTATTGTAATGTTACCTCTGTGTAATTTACAATGTATCTGCATTACCCTTCACTCAGGCTGCTAAGGACAACGTGGAGTTAAATGACTGGTAGAAGCAAGGTTGGGCAAATTTTGCGCAATAGTAGTTAGTTTGAATTACCAGACACGCAATCAAGACATTGTGGGATATCAAAATATGAACGATAAACAGCAAGTGATATTTCCAGAGATGTAGTTGGAATTGAAGCAAATGAGTGGCCTATTAACCCATGAAACATACTCGCGCATAACCGTACATATCACCCTTATTGTGTGTCACGGTGGGGGAAGGCTGTCATGTACACAATCATAATAACTGGAAATGGTTTTATTACTGTTTTATTACTGTAAATAATTATGAACAATACAAACTGAAATTTTGAAAAAACTATGAACAAAAAATAATGAAAATCTGTGATTTGCTGTACAGTTTCTAGAAAATTATTACAAGTCTCAGAAATATTGGGACAGCCAATTTGCGAACTCGCAAGCGAATTGGCTAACTGCTTGCAATGCATGTCTGTGAAAGAAAACGCGTTAAAAGGGTGTTTTTTTTTCCAAAGAAAAACACGTTAACGCGCGATACGCGTTTAGGGTTACCATTTCAGTCAAAATAGACAAAAAGGGTGTATTTTCCGGTACTGCCAACGTGGTTATTTTTTAAAAGAGATTATCGTTTTTTTTCCATTGCTTTAAGGAATTCAATGATCGCAACAACGAGGAAAACGTCCGGGCCCCTGGTTAACGACCCTTGACCACGGGCAATCACGGCATATGACCAACCCGTTGCTTACATCATGAAGGTAAAAATATTTTTACCTTCATGTTTACACTGAAGGGTTAGAAAGCTCAAATATCTCGAGATCAGGCGCGAGTTCAAGGTGCGTGATCTTTTAGCTTTCTAACAGTGAAAAAGGTACGAAATTTTGACCTTTTAAAATGTGTTTAGGGTCATTTTGAAAACCCCTTTCACAGACATGGGTTCCAGGTACTTCGACAAGTCGGACCCCGGGTCTGGGATATTCATATAACAGTAAAGGCGGTCGTCGTACTTTAGGAGCTAATCAGCGACGGTCTTACAGTTGGATTTCGCTTTCAAATACAATGTATACTAGGAAAAGTGTTCTATTTTTTCGTGTAATGAGGTATTCTTATACAAGGGATTGTCCACGCATAAACGACGAATGAGGTCGAATATTATTAACGGTATTATTAGTGGCATGAACATTTATTTTCTCCTTATATGTAGGAAACTGTTTCTCAACTTGTCTCTTTATTTAGTTTCAAGCTGTATTCAAGATGGCTACCCCATATAAATTGTAAATTACTCGTACTAGTTTTACATTGTCACTCCTCGGATCATTCGAGGGAATCCAGATATGTGCCAGGCCACATAAAAAACATTCTATATCACCTAAAGCAATATAGACTAGCCCAGAGTAGACGCGACCACAGCGCCAGCGAGATTCCAATAACATTTATAAAAGGCACAGTGCTGAGATTCACTTAGAGTATAAGTGAAATATTACTCTTAAAATTGCACACGAGTCGTCAAAGCGTACAGTTTGGTGACAGTTGGGAATGAAACCAAGATTTAACATGTTCTTTTAACACATGAAACAGCTGTGCATAGGTCAAATTTTGTATAGTTTCAATACGTATACAAGCACCCGTATATATTTTGACAATAAACTTCTCTTTCACATTGTGCAAATACAAACAAGACATTAAACCTTCCTAACTGTAACATGTAAGTGTTAAACCCGAATGAAAAGTCCGGAGTCACGGTGAATACTTTAGTGAGTCACCCCTTTAAAAACGTCTTCAATTAACCTAGGCCAATCACTAATGTGCGGGGTCATTACCAAGGCCAATGACATTGAACACTGCACTTTCATAAAGCAGCAGTTTCCCACTTTAAATAGTCAAAAATACCCTTGATACCCTGGATACGTATGTCCATTGCTTCACAAGAACGACTGTTTTCTCAATTTCTCAAGATAGACGTACCAAGGTTGTTTAGGTTACTAGAAGGAAATGTCTTTTGGCAGCATTTCTTGTATTTATTTTCATTGCACAAAAAATCAGCAAATACTGTTACTGAAGCACTGAATTTGCATGATTTTTTTCCCGGCCAATCACGCAAACAGCAAATCAAGTCTTTTACCATAGTTGTTGACACTTTGCAGCCGCAATGATGGATGCATTGTGACGTATTTTGACCCCCGGAATTTGACCTTGCATTCTGGCTACAGTTTGCTTCCTTTCATACCAGTTCAATGTCCTTTCATTATTTCATCCAGATTCCATGACATTTAATATATAAAACCAAGTGAACCTTTATTTCACAGTCACTCTAGTTTTCACTTTTCTAAAATTATTTTATTGATCAAAAGACTTTTCACTCCCATCATGCAATCTCCCATAGTATTTCCGCAGACACAGCGGCGATCGCCAACATAACTACAAATAACCTCGCTCTCAGGAGCTGAGGAATAAACACAAATGTCGCACATGCGCAGCGCGACGACCACCGCCCCTTAACCTGGTCACTTATCTATACAATTAACATAGTTTCAGCAAAGCACACATTGTGTGTACAGTTTACTCTGTTAATTCCAGGGCAGTGTTCATAAGTTATTATTGTTTTGCCTCCGCTTAAACACATTTGAGGTAATACTCCCGTATCTGATATATGAATGTTTGTTTCATGAATCTGTGTGTATAAGTGTATAAAATCTTGTTTCACTAATATCTGAAAAAAAACACTGATTGGAATTGAAACTTAATACACAGAAAATTGATGATGAATTCCGGAAGCCTGATTATTGTAGACGAATGTCTGATATTGGTTTCAAATTAATCTAGGTATATTCATAAGCTTGAATTGGCATACTGCTTTGATATAGAGGATATCTCACGAGTTACATTCATTTTCAGATTTGGTGAGGAACAAATAAAAGTTACTACACGCGTTGAATAAACCTGATATGTGTATACCATGTCTACATTTCGTATATTCTAAACACAGTCAGCGTACATACACGTGATAATAAAATAATTGCGTCAGATTTACCCATATTTACTACAGTATATGGGACAGCTATCTTGAATACGGTTTGAAACTTAATAAAGAGTGTTTTTTTACTACTGATCAGGAACGATATTCCAAATTGATGATCCGTTTGAGCAACATTAAGTTAACTGCTAACAAATCCGGCCGAATTTGTCGGTTGACTGACCATGGATCACGCTTAGACAAAAGATCTTGTTCAAAACTGAAGCAGAAAGCGCATTGTTTTGGTTTCAGATACAAGCGTAAATGGAAGTTATTGGGTCACAGGTTTTTATAAATACGCCAAACATAGTTCCAGATTTAATGCGCCACATAATTCCTGAGTATTCTCTACTACAATGTTGAATACTATACATTGTATCCTAGCTATAATACGTAGTAAAAGTAACTAGTAGTTTATTGCTATTGTTTCACACACCTTTCTACGCTCCCCTCTACACAGTGCTTCATATGCATCCCTATCATCCAAATAAGTAGAATTGGGTCTCACGCTAGGTTTGTCTTTCAAAATCAATCGACTGGATTCTTCTTTTTCTTCGATTTCTTCTTGAAAGTTTTTGACATTGCGGGTAATTCTTGCGTGTCCTGGTTCTGGAAATCAGATAACAATGAGGTATAATTAGCCTGAATATATAATTTAAAGGGTAATTCGTTACAAGAATGTCTGAGGTGGTGAATCTAATCTACGTCCTTGATATTTTGATTAACGTTCATCTTGGGCTCGTTAGTATCCAGCGGTTCTTAAACAAAAAGCCGACACCCAAGTTTTCTATTAAACACTTATTAAAACCAAATGTATATACTCTGGTATGGCCTGTTGATCTCGGTAAACGCACGCTAAATAAATATCCTCCATGAATTGAAGGCGAGACGACTCGTTCGGTCGCAGCTTATTTTTATAACCGTATAATATCTTTAGCGCATTATTGTTCTGAAGTTTATGAGGTTGTAAAATACCAAACACTCCTCAGTAGTTACATTTGATAGTGTAGTTAATCAATTACTATTAGATTTACGAGAGCGCGGGTAGGACGACATCAAGTAGTAGAACAAAGGACAATGTATATTATCACATGAATACTCAACATATATTAATAATTAGCTGCAAGTGTAAAACACATTAAAAATGATTGCACCCGAGGAAAACGTCACAATGATTTGGTCTTTAATTAAATCAGCCAGTGTCTGTCACCAAACACGTACTTATATATTCCCTGAAAGCTTCGATATTTCCTGCAAATTCGTCGCGTTAGATGTGTCCGTACCACGTTTACAAATGCGCGGTAGAATTCATTGAGACATTTAGCACCGGAAACAACATTACTGACGTCACATTTGAGCACTTGACTGAATGTGAGCGTTCGGCACAGCGCAAAACGTTTCTGGGTGCCATTTCGGCCTATAACATTATTACTACAGACAGGAAAGAGAATATCACAAAGTCTGAACAAAGACATCGACGGATACGAAACGGAGGTCGATGTGATCCTGTGTATGTGAGTGTATACTTTGCGGTATATTCGTGAAACCTAATATTACTTATTTACGCGAAAATTGAACACGCTACGCGACGATCACAGTGAAACGTCTTACTGTTTGTACTTCAACGCGGCTTGTTCACACAGGGCGCTGTAATATTCGTAGTTGGACTGTAAGGTGAGGAATTGCGTACCGGTATTATTATTGTTTGCATTTGTTTTGAAAACAGCGGGAGCAGTGAAAGAAAACGACGCTTGACACATCTCCGTTACCCGGTGAAACAGCTGTGAACACATCATTGACCTAATATAGGAGTGCACATCATGTCAGTGACGTAGCAAACAGTGAATTCTATTTGTGTCTGTATTTTTATCAATTATTTACAAAGTCTATATGTGATCCCCCATAACCACTTTTTTTAGAAAACGTATACTAGTATATTGCCATAGTTACATAAACGTTTCTTCTATATTCAAATTT